GTTTGTTTTGTTTTAGAGGATGAGCAGAAAATGACCGAACAGTAAGTTTGCACAACTTACAACTTTAATAAGCCAGTTGTCACAAACTACAAACAACTCTGAACTCTTTTCTAGAAAGACTAAACCACATGTTGGGGTTGAAACTAGAATATGATGCTTGCATCAACCATGTAACCCATGCTTGCATCATATTCTAGTTTTTTTTCATATTCTATGATTTTGTACAGCCCTCTGTTCTCAATAAAAGCAGAGGTGGGTGCAAATGAACAATTTTCATCTTCTAGACCAAGATTTTTATAGAGAACATCTTGAAAAATATGTAGAACAAAATACAGATTTCCATTTATTAATGACACTTCTGCATTCATCTTATTTGGAGGAACTAGAACCACAAACACAACCTACATTTACTCAAACACAAACCATCCATCCATCCATCCATTTTCTTTACCCGTTTGATCCATTTTGGGTCACGGGGGTCGCTGGTGCCCATGTCCAGCAATCATTGTGCGAGGGGCAGGGTACACCCTGGACGGGTCGCAAGTCCATCACAGGGCCACATAGAGACAAACGAGACAAACAACCATTCACTCTCTCACTCACACCTAGGGACAATTTAGAGTTACCAATCAGCCTAACATGCGTGTTTTTGGTCTGTGGGAGGAAACCGTAGCACCCGGAGAAAACCCACGCATGCACGGAGAGAACATGCAAACTCCACCCAGAAAGGCCCCTGGACCGGGGTTTGAACCAAGGACCTGCTCGCTGAGAGGCAGCAGCTCTACCAGTTGCGCCACCGTGCTGCCCAAACACAAACCATGTAACCCAAATAAGAAAACAATACTGAACCCTGAAAAGTTAGAAACTTTGAGCCTGTCTCATAATGCAGACATGCAAAATCTTTGTCTTGTATCTACAATCATTTTAATTTTTACTTTAATTTAGCAGATAAACTTTAAAAATGACCAAGTTTGTTTTCAAATTATTTTACAGCCCCAAAGTTCTTTCAACATAACAATTTTAGCCCTCATGTCAAAAAGTTTGGACATCACTGCCCTAAGCAGTAATACCAAGCCCTTTCAGTAATGAGTGAAAGGGTTATCAGACATTTAAGCCTTAGTCTGATATGAAATTTGAAAAGTTGCCCACTTTTCTGGATTTTTTTGCTACAAATTCCTTGACAAGATCACTGAAGTCCAGCTTTCTCACTAGATCACTCTCAATAGACATGAGAGTCAAATGGTTCAGTCTTTCCTGTCCCATTGTGGATCTGAGTCTGTTTTTAACTATTTTAAGCTTGGAGAATGATCGCTCACCACTTGCATTTGTGACAGGAAATGTCAGGTAAAGCCTGAAAGCAATATCCACATTTGGGAAGATGTCCTGCAGTTTCTTTTTCGCAGCTCAGCTTCGCTGTCATATTTTCTGTTGTCCGCCATTGTAAAATAATATTCCCTGACGCTCCTCCCCATTGCGTAAGATACGTCAAAAGTGGACCAATAACAAGCAAGCATTCAAGATGGACGTTTGCCAGAACAAATTGGAACATTTTTCATCGGTGCTGTGTAGAGGAACATATATCTGTGATATATTATCCATAAATTAAACGGATTCTTTCATTTTTCTGGACTGAATTCTATCGTGCATTGAATAATTAAATGTAACGTGAGACGTTAATTTTCTTTGACCCATCAAAATGCATGCGGTCATTTATTAACAGAATCAAAGTTTAACATCAAACATTTACATTAATTTGGCAACATTGATTTCAACAACAACATAGCTTAGTTAGCAAGCTTTACAATTAGGAAACCATACGGCCATGGTTTCCCTTGCAACTTTAAACCAACAGACATTTCTGAAAATATCTGGATGATTACTGGCAAGATAGAAGAGTTTTAAAGATGGGAAATGAAGGGAGTTTAAATTGAGAGAAAATGTGGATGAGGGAATATGTGTCTGTATCAGAACGGCACTCTCCATTCGAACCCAGTTTCATCTCGGTACGCATGAGGAGTAAGTCCGTCAGAGTTCCACTCAGATGTGGAAGATTCCATAATTCCCACGAGACTCGGAAGAACTTCGGATCATGTCTGGAACCTCCTGTTCTCTCCAGCAACTTTTCTGTTCGGTTCTGCTCTCCGAACTGAACTGCTCTCCCACCGCGCTGGTTGGAACTAGGAAGTGTCGACATTTAAAGAGTTCTGTTTCCGGTTCATTTGGGAAGTCTTGATTGGCTGAAAAAGCCAACAAGGGGTGTGTTTTTGTGACGTAAGAGGTCACTAGAAGTCAGAAAAACAGAAAAATGTTTTGGAACAGACAGAAAATGTTTTTGAGACAGAGAAGAGAAATGTTTAGGCGAGTTGGGAGGAAACAGGTGCCAGCTTCTCTATTTACGTCTGAGAGGATTTAAAAACATGACAGTTTGTTCCAACAAACTTGTTTGCGTTTGTCTCCGACGTTTGACCGACTTACACTTGCTCATTTCAGACAGAAGATCAAGAAAATGAATAATTACTCTGTAACAGACATTTAACTAGATTTCTACTTTGAATGAGGATTAAAAATCATTAATACTGTTTCACAGTTGATTTAAAATAAGTAGTTCAATTCAACATTTAAAATGGTTTGAACTAAACACACTTTGATTATCAAAACATTTGTAAAATAGTAATGATAATAAAAAAGAGAGTGTTCTTTCAATTGATCAGTGCAGGACACTTAGAAAGTCTCTGGATGAACTTAATTTTGTGTTTCTGGACTTAAATCAATGAAATAACAGTTCTTGTCCCAGAAAGGCCCTCAGGGCCAGATTTGACCTGAGGCTTAGTTCACTACAGTTGTCAAAATCATCATAGTCATTGATTAAATTCTGACACTATCCATTCACAAAAACATAAAACATCCTTCGGGGCCCCCAAAATGCTGGGGCCCCGGGCTGCAGCCCTGGTAAACCCCTGCTAAAATCCGGCCCAGGTCAGGGGTCATAGTTAGAGCAGTGCAGCTTCATGCTACATTCAAAAATTAACTATTACATGCATTGAGGAGCAAAAGAAAGGTAAAACTAAAGCAGGGGAGTGAAAAGAGCAGAAAGTTAGAGTGAGAGCCTGAAGGGGTAACTTTCCAGAGTAGGAAAAAAATGTTAGAAATGCAAAACACTGAACTCAAGTTAACAATGTTTTTTTTAAAAAAAAGAGAATAACAACAACCCATGATCGTAACAATCCACAGACCATGACAGAAATGGGTTAAATTTGATCATTCAGAGGAGCTTTCCATGCCTATAAATACATGCGGATATAGAAAAATAAAAATTCAAAATACACAGCTCTCAGCAGGCAATCTAGGTCATATTTTCTTCAAGTGGGATGGTGTCAATCTTTATTTCCACCTGAACCAAACATATTTTCCAGCAGTAATACTGTACATTTATCTTGAAGTTTTTCAAAAAGGACTTATTCATTCAACCTTCAAAAGGGACATTTCAAGGTAACTCATACGAGTGCAAATTATAATGTCAAGTTTTAAGATATTAAAACATAAAATATTATCTGCCTGTAATGCTGTAATAAGTATAAAGTAAATAATCAAGTATGTAAATGCAGATCTTCATCTCAAACTCAGTCACATTTAGATTATTTAATTATTATTATTTATTTAATGACATATCAAGCATTTTAGTGATCATCCACTTGTGGCACTTCCAAAAAAGTTGATGTTATGCTGTCAATTACAAATTGAGAGGTTGTTTTAAGAGAATATTCACTTCAATTCAGTTTATTTATAGAGCACCAAATCAAAAATAGAATATTGAATAAAGAAATAGAATATAAATCAAAACGGTACGATGTGTTAAAAGTAAATCTGCTCAGCAACTTTATAATTTGATTAAAAGCTTTGATTTGATGTAAAACTTTTTATGCTTGCTCCTTGTTATTTTATATTTTTGAACAACCCAACCTGTGAAATCTAATTGTTACTTTGCAATAGCATTGTTTGCATTGGTTTGTTTGTAAATTGTTGTTCTTAAAAAATAAAAATAAAATAAAAATAAGTAAAAAACGTAGCTGCCTTCGAGCTAAAAATTTTTTTGTTTATATGAACGTCACATCCGGTTTGTCCAAAAAGAGGCGGAGTTAACGGTCTGTGTTTTTTGCTCGCGACAGACAGACGGCGAATTTCTGCGTAATCTTTCCCCCTTTAACTTGATTAATGGCGAAACGTACAAACTCTGTCTTCTTCTCCGAGACATTAAGTATACACTGAGGACTGGGAAAGTTCAGTGAGGCGAGAAAAAAAAAAAAAACCTTTCGGATAAAGTTAAGAGTTTTACGTAAGTTTTGTTTGTTTTCTTCTTAACGCGCGTGACGTGCTGGAACAAACATTCTGTACTAGCTAACAGCACCAAGGTTTTAGCTGTGTTTTCCCTCATTCTTCTTCGTAGCGAACTTTATTTATTTCAGTGTTTTTTTAATAGAAACACACGACAAAGCGAACTGTTCGGCGCTAACTTATCTCTGTAATTTAACAGTTTGCTGAGCTTCAACGATGGTGCAGCACTACCAGTCTCCTGTTCGGGTCTACAAGCATCCGTTTGAGTTAGTCATGGCGGTGAGTGGTGCACTTTAATACCAGGGCCGTCATTGCTCATACAGTGTTGGGTTCAACTAGCACAATTCATTGTCCACAGATGGTAAATGAGCTTCAACATCTACATGAAGTGTGTGCAACCTCTTCTTCCGGGATCATCAGTAGCTGTAAATGTGTTGAACTTGGAGCTGGTTAAATATCCATGCAAGAGTTATATGTGTACATGTGGGAAAAATAAACTTTTCTAAAAGGCTGTTGCTAAGTAGTGCTTGGATTATGAATGGTAAAAGGTGAAGGTGAAGATCATGTTTTTCAACTGATTGACTTTTGGAGTCAGCTCAGTTCAAGATGGCTGCCACATCCACTGACCTTAATTAAAAAAACACACACAACAATGGCTTAACCGATATTAAGCTAAAGTGTGGTGTGTTTGTAGCTAAGAGTCATCCACAACACGCACATCAAATGCTACTCATTGTGTAAGAGCTTTGCTTGAAACTAGCATTAGCAGTTTGAGTCAACACAATTGTGTTTTACCCAAAATAAAAAAATCCTATGAGCCACATTTATTATAACTTTCAGAAAATAATTCTGGATAAGCATCTATCTACAGCTGATTAACTTTAGGAGTCAATCGTATTCGAGATGACTTCCCCAGCTAACTGAGCCTAGAGAACGCTACAATGTCTACAACTTGGTCAGTTTAACAGATCCTACTTGAGATATTGAGCTAAAACTTGATCTAGTAAAGAGTCCTCTTCAACACAAAATGAGCATGATATGAGATCACTGCTACCCAAAAAAACCCTACAACTTTGTAATTTCTCAACATAAACTAAATCTAAAACTAGCAGGAATAGCAGCGAGCGATCTGCATTTCTTCAAAGAATGATTTGACTGAAGTCAACTGTAGGTTACAGAATATGTCCTATCTGCTGAACTGATCGTTTTCTGTCTGCAGGAAAGCTGTCCAACAGTAAATGGTGTACGATTGAGATAAGAAAAGGCCAACAGAGTTCATCAGGAAAAAGTTCTCCAGCTTTTCTTGTGAAACTCACAATGAATTCTCATTACACAACAACATTATTGAAAGACTTGGAGAGGAAAAATGCTTTCAGACTAAATATTTTTTACCATGTCTAACCCCGGCTTTTCTTTGCAGTTTTTTATTTTTATTTTAAGAGGAACATTTTTCCATTATTATCCTCATTTTTTTCCCTCTATTCAGCTACTACCTTCAAATCAAAGTTTTCAGAACACAATCTCTGAGCAAAGCAAAAGTAGAGCTGTCAGAAAGTAAATGTGGATTTCCAAGAGAAGGGTTTTAATTTCAACCCATTTAGTAGTTTGCTCTCTGTGTTTTGTTTCTTGTTCCTGTAATACATTAATCTAAAAGCTTATGTAATGTCCCTGGTTTGTTTCGTGAGACTTTAGTCTGTTGCTACTTTAGCACTTGGCTGCTAATCAAAGATGATACTATATAATTTATGCTTCACATTCACAAAAGGGTGATTTTGATGCCTTTCCAAGAAAGATCAGCTCTGAAATTATTGTCACGTTGAGTTATTGAAGGGGTCTTGAAATAGACCCCTTTGTAAAAACTAATATCAGCTCTGAAAAGATTCAGGTCTCGGCAGCATAAAGGAAAGAATCCAGTTGACCGGAGTCTACCACAGACTGTTGCCCCCATTAATCTTTAAGCTTTCTCATTAGCCTTTGGCTAATCCTGCCACTGACAGTTATTACTCCAGCTGACAGCCCTCATCAGTGTCCTGGACACTACTGGATGTCCACCCAGTGACATCACTGCCGTCCATTTCACACCACCTTTCTTTGCCTTGTAAAGGTTGAGTGAACAAGATGAACTTTTATATATTTTTCACAAAATAGGTCGACTCTTGTGTAGTTATAATCATTCTAAAATATCTGAATAAATACTATGATATTTGATAAAACAATTTGAAATAAAATAGAGTAAAATACTAACAGTGCTGTTGTTTTGTGTGTGCGTGACTTCCATAAAGTTTCTGGTGTTTACTGACTTTGGAAGATTAAAAAATTAACTTTTGTTGTTTTAAAGCCACTTATTTGTTTTATTTTTTTTTAGGCTTGAAAGTCAAGTAAACACAGAACAAATAATTCAATTTGTCTTCAGCCAGTAGCACATATTGTTTTTGTTGCACCTTGCATCAATCACACAGCACAACCAATGCTGCATATTAACCAGGCGAACATTTCCCAATCATTTTCTCTGTGAATAATTTATTTTTTTGTGTGTGGAGTTGCTTTTTAGCTGTGCAGTTTGGATGCGTCATATATTATTGAAGACTATGCTAATTGGAAAGAAAAGCAGTCTAGACTTAGTTTCAGTAAAATAACTGACAATTTTGACTCAAACAAAAACTTGTAAAACCCTAATAGTATTTTGCATGTAAAATGCTACTTTAAAATGAAATGCAAACAAAAATTCTACATCTCCATAAAACAAACGTTTGAAATGAGGATGCAACAGAGATGTGTCTCCACACCATGAAGGTTTACTTTTGTCTTGCCTTTGGTTGTTTCTTATCTGCTAGTCTTCAGATTCTGCACAGCTCAGAGCTTTGGGATATGCAGCTCTTATTTCAGATTCAGTATTGACAAGTGATCCCTGCTTACATTGGTCTGAGCAGTCGATCATGTGCTGTGGGCATTGAAAAACTAAAACGTAAACAGAGCAATCATTGCTTGTAAAAGCGAACACAGCTCCAGGTTGTCGGTGTGCACGAACCATAAAACTTTATAATGCTTTTAAATAAACTGCTAAGTGTGTCCTCACCTGGAAAAGAAGTTGGATGTCACTGCTCGTTTCAGTCAGCAACTTGTTTGACAAACGCATGACTTGATTGTAACGGCACAACTGTGCAGCTTTCCTGTGCAAACAGAGAGCTCACAGAGAACAAGGACAAAGTGTGACACAAGGTGCAGATGCACGCTGCTGCAGTACAAAATAATCTGTTTTCTTATGTCATTTCGTCCTTTCAGGCTTATGTGAGGAGGTTCCCAAAGTGCCCGCTGATCCCGGTGTTTGTGGACAGTGAGATCGTGAGCCAGAGTCAGAGCCATGACGGTTCTTTGGTGTTGACTGAAAGACGATGCACAATTGATGTTGATGCCCCACGACTTCTCAAACGGGTACCTCTCTTTGGACCCTTTTCCGAACAAATGCCATTAGGTCATTGGATTAGTTCTAATGAACAGAAATAGGAATGCCCATAAAAACTGCTAAAGTTTGCTTTAATATTAAAGTTGGCAATCAGGTGGTATTTTGTAGCTAACCACTTTAACTCAGTGCATAAAACATTAAAACAGTGTAGCACCACTATCATTCAAAATGTTCAATGAAAATATCTGCTCCCAAAAAATTCAGCAAACTAATAGTTTTTTTTTTTCTGTATTTAGATTGCTGGTGTCGACTATCTGTACTTCATTCAGACAAACACCTTAAACCGCAGGGACAGGACACTTCACATCGTCGTCCACAATGAGACTTTTTCTAACCGAGTGTTTGTCCGTGAGTGCTGCAGCTATACGGTAAACCTCAGAGACTAACAGGGTGACTGGTTGCTCCAGTCATCATTTCCTAATCGTTTAACATTTTATTGTGTAATATTTTTTTCACAATGCCTCATGCTCTTTAAATATCACAATGGCTCCTCTTAAAAGGAAAACAAATTACACTGAGCGGTAGCAAACTGCTAATGTCACAAGGTGTTTTAAAGTCAGGTTTATGTCACTTGCTCAAAATGTCTTCTCACTGCAGTTATAATTTCTGCTGGATGTGATATAGCAGCCTGACTGAAATAAACAAATTAATTTACAGTACATCATATAAACTATGAAAGCCCAATACTGTGTTAAAATACAATTTGTACTGTGCAAATTAAATATCTAAAAATGCACCAGCTGAGCTGTTGTTTGTATTTTCTTTTTTATATATAAAAAGCAAAATTCACATAGAGTTGAAACAAAGTTCATTTTACTTTTGTTTTCCTTCTGGACAGGTTCATCCAGAAAATGAGGACTGGACTTGTTTTGAACAGACAGCTAGTCTGGATATAAAGTCTTTCTTTGGTTTTGAAAGCACAGCAGAGAAAATAGCAACAAAATTGTATGCTAGTAGTATTAAAAAGGTTGGTATATGAATTACATTTTGTGAGATTTGCATTAGCTTTCAGTATGTTCGTAGACTGTAAGGTGATTTATTAATATACTAAAAGTGTCTTATGTTGATCGATTCAGGGTAAAGAAATAATTGAGCACTACCTCAGCGAGATGGAGGAAGAAGGAGTAACTTACATACCTCGCTGGACCCCCACTGCAGAATCCTGCTGTGTCACTACAAAGCATCAGCTGCCAGCCCCCTCCCCTACCAGAAGCATCCCAGTGAACAGTACCAAAGATGGACTGCGCAGTAAAAACCTGACCAGTTCCACAGAGCTCGTTGTTGGTTCTCCTGACGGTCAGTATGTGCTCACTTGTTCTCACTGAAGCTGAAACAACTTAAAGAATAGGTGCAGTTTATAATGAAAATGACTCATTAGTGAAATAAATCTTGTTTTTAAACGAAATGGATAAAATTTCACATCAGTTTTGTCAGTGAGGACAAACAATAGTATGCATACCATGTTTGTTGAGTTATCTGAAGTATATTTGCTGCATGTATGTGGTAACTGTTCTGCGAATGTGTTTGTAATTGTAGACAAGTTGGATGCAGACTACATCAGACGTTACCTAGGTGATTTAACGCCTCTGCAGGAGAGCTGTCTTATTCGACTTCGCCAGTGGCTCCAGGAAACCCACAAGGGCAAGGTCGCATATACACAGTTTTAGTTGTGTACAGTCTATCCTTATCTGCAAAACAAAACGTGCAATCTTTTGTTCTGCTCTTTGCTTTAGTAGTTTCCCTTCATAGGTTAAAAGAAGCATATCATTTAGGATTTTTTGTACACGTTTATTTATCAATAACTTTGTTTTCATTCTCATTCTTTGTGTACAGATTCCAAAGGATCAGCATGTGCTGCGCTTCCTCAAAGCCAGAGATTTCAACCTGGACAAGGCCAGGGAGTTTTTGTGCCAGTCACTGACCTGGAGGAAGCAGCACCAGGTGGATTTGCTGTTAAACACATGGGAGCGCCCACAACTGCTCCTGGACTATTACACTGGAGGGTGGCACCACCACGACAGAGGTACTGAGTTATTACAAAATATAAAGTACAGTATACTGAAAGTGAGAAGGTCGCTTTGAACAAAAAGGTGGAAGGTTTCAGTCTTCTGTATTTGTCTAGTTATCAGGCTCCTCTCTTGTGGAAAAATTGAATAATTTTAATTTTCATTTGATACTATTTCTATCTTAACATGTGATTCTCAACCTGCCATTGTGTATCTGTTCCTACCAAACCCAGCTGATCGAAGTAGATGGACGCTTGTCCTGAGCCTGATTCTGTTAAAGGTTTCTTCCTCATGAGGGAATTTTTCCACTGTCGCCTTCGTGTTTGCTCAAGATGAGAGTTCTGTGATGGAGTTGAAATCAAAGCAGTCTGCTCCTCAGATAAATAATGTTAAATTATTATTTTTTATATATGAATGTTTCTGTTCAGTGCCCTGAGATGACTTATATTGTGACTTGGCACTATATAAATAAACTGAATTGAATTTAGTCCACCTTTGTTGAAACTGGACTGTTAATTAATCTTTGTAAAGTTTGAGCATCTTCTGTCATAATGTTTGAAAATGAGTCATTGCTTCTCTAACAGAGCAGCTCATTAACAAAGTCACAGTTTAAAAGACGAAGCAGTTCGTTAACCAGGTGAAAGTATTTTCAAGGGTCCTAATGAATAGTTCTGCATATTTTAGTTAAAGAAACACTAAAGCAGCACCTTTCCCTGTCTGAACTAGCATTGCTCAAAGCACCTGTCTTTAACGGATGGATTGAGATACCCGAATCCTTTCCACTCTTTGTTTCCAGGGATGTGCCAGTTTTGAGATTAAGGTCGTTTTCACACCAGATAGTCCGGTAGACTCGGTTCGATTCAGGACCAATATTCATGAGCTTTTGTTTACATTTGAGCTGGTGAGTTTGCATTCACACTGCACTGTGCAGTCGAGTCAACCTGTTGAACCAACCTATTCCCCCGCTCGCCTGTGGGGGCGCTGCACCAAGAACTACTGAGAGAAACGACACAAAAACCTCTGAAGACACATCTTCTTCTTCTTCTGTAAATAAAAATAAATATGAAGTGGCATCAAGTTTTATCAGTTTTAGGAGTTATATTTTGTCATTTTTCAAAAATGGACTTGGCATGAGCAGAAGATGAGACAGAAGACCATGGAGAATATTGATTTTCACACAAGGCAGCTGACGGCTCCATATGAGGTAAGAGAAATGCGTGTTTGTTTACCCTGTGGAGCGGGGCCCGGTCTGTTTACATTCGCACTGTACTCGAACCGTGCTGGAGTTTGCTTCTACTGGACCGAGACCTAGGTTTTAGCCCGGGCCAGAGTTCGCCTTTTTGTTCTGTGACAGAGTTCGATGGTGCGTTCACACATCCCTAAACGAACCGGACTTTCTAGGAAAACGAGCTAGAGTTCGATTAAAGCGGACTAAACAGGGCTGGTGTGAATGCACCCTAAAGGTACAACGTTAAATCCAAATAAATCCAAATGTAACACAAGTGCTGCATGCACACACACAAATTTAATAAATTCACAGTTCACACTACCACACTTTTGACAGGAATTCCTGTTCTGAAGTAGCATCATTTCCTTCATCCACCGTGGACTGTTGGTACTGATCTGTCTTTCAAGAACAATGTCAGTGTGAGTTTTGTTGAGCTGACTGTGTTAAAATACCACAATGCATCAATAAGCATTGAAGGAATTAAAACAACAAGCCAAAATTGAGACTTTGTTTTTTTTCCTCATGTTGTCTCAGAAATGTTTGGGTTTCACTGATTCATTCTGCTTTATGGTGTTTTTTGAGCCCTCGTGTTGTAAAAGTTTTCAAGTTTTCCCAGTGTATTTGATAATTGAAAATGTTTTAACTTCTTGAGTAGAAAATCATGGCAATGCAAAGTCAGATGTTGTAGTTGGATAAAAACTCAGATAAACCAACATTCACATTAAAAGTGGATTACATGTGTGCTGCTCTTTTATGTTGAAAACTGAAAAACGTGAAAAAAAGCACAGTTTGAGTACTTTTTTAAATTACTTAAAATGCATTTAATGAATGACTGCTGGATTCCTGAATTTATTCAAATATAAGAAGCCATGTTTTAGATCACAATATTTTTTCATTGGTCAATAAACTTTGGACTAAAATGATAAAACTTTTTTTTTTTTAAACTAAAGAACAGCTGATTTGATGTTGGCTAAAAATATCTAGCCAATATTGGGGGAAAAAAAATCAATTTTGTATCACTGCTTGGAATATTAAATATGAACAGATCCCTGTAAACTTTGTGAAAAGACAAGTCATTACGTTCTTGTGCAGAGAGTGAGTTCCCTCATTTTAAAATGTTTTGGTCTCGCCTGTGTAGTGAACCTGATCTGACCTCAAATCTACCAGATGGACAGAGACTGTTATTTTCATTGATCTGAATAAGTCTGGGCCATCTGATGAACTTTCTTTCTTGAATTAATCAAGCAGAAAAGACAATTCTTTATAATCATTACTGTCTTACAAATGTTTTGATAATCAAATTGTGTTAGTTCACTCAATGCTTTACAGGTTGAAAAGAACTACTAATTTTTATTTTACATAAACAGTAAGTAATGATTTTTGTTCCTCATTCAGAGAAGAAATCACCTGAATATGCCTTTCTTGATTTCCTGTCTGAAATGAGCAAGCTGTCGTAAGTATGTGAAAGGTTGGTCTTCGGTCAACTAAAATGTTTACTGAAGAAGAAATGTCATGTTTAAACTTTTTCAGAAGATTACAAGAGTAGACTCCAGAAAGTCTGCTGCTTCTGCAATAATCTTTTCTGTATGTTAAACAAGTTTCATTCTCTGACCTCGACTGTTGATAAACACCTTACGTCAAAAACCACTCCTCTTTCTGGTCCTTCCACGAATCAGAAAGCTCTAAATTGAACAGGAAGTCGACCCAAATAAAATGTGGCAACTCCCCAGTTCAAGTTAGATTGAGAGTCTGGGAGAATGAGAAGAATTAAGAATTCCAGAATTCCAAGAGAATGAGAGTTCTGAGAGATGTTGGAATGAGGGCTGACAACAGGTCCGATAGTCCAACAGAATGAGCAGATTGAGAGTGCAGCCGGTTCTGAAAGTTTCAGAGCAATGAAGAATCCAGAGGTTTTGGGATTATAATTCTGTTTTGAACTAACCACGCACGACTCTTCGAGGATTTTAGCTGTTTTCAACGGAGACGCTGATATCAGTTGAAAAAGGATTCTTACTGAGCTGATCTATCATCAATCAGGTAACGGCCTCTTCTTCGACTAAAGTGTACCGTGGACAGGCTGGAGATCTGACGGAGCGTGCAACTTCTGGTCAAACAGATTAAATTCCCTCACACATTTCCTCTGTAAGATAAATCTCAATTTAATCTTAAACTCTTCTCTCTCATAAACCAGTACAGATATTTTTAGGAATATCTGAAGCAAAGTCCTCAAATCACCGCCGAGTGATTTGAAGTTCATTTTCTGTGAAACTGTCTGTTATTATTTTCATATTTTGCCAAATTAATGTAAATGTTTGATGTTAAACTTTGATTTTGAAAATAAATGATTCCATTCATTTGATGGGTCAAAGATAAATAACGTCTCTCGTTCACATTTCTGTTAAATTCAATGCACGGCATTTACAGTCAGAAAAATGAAGAACTCGTGAATATTGTATGCATATATAATTCATATATTGTGTCATACAACAAGTGACACGTACCTCATGTACGTCACTACACCTGTGTTAACTGTTTGTTTAGATGGACGTCCCCTGTATGTCCTGCGTCTGGGTCAAATGGACACAAAGGGTTTGGTGCGGGCCTTGGGAGTGGAAGCGCTCTTAAGACAGGTATTATGACCACATGCAAAACATTTTATTTTAATCTATAATGTTCAGTGGCATTAATGCTGCAGCTTCTTTTCTATGAAACAGGTCCTTTCCATCAACGAGGAGGGACTGAGGCGCTGTGAGGAGAACACCAGAGTTTTTGGTCGACCCATAAGGTGCCTAAATAATTATTTCTGTTAATTATTCGTTGTCTCATTGTTTGTTGAGGATCTGGATGTACGTGTACGTGCATAAAGTCTAATTTATTGTGTTGGCCAGCTGTTGGATGTGTCTGGTGGATCTAGAGGGTCTAAACATGCGCCACCTGTGGAGACCTGGAGTAAAGGCTCTTCTGAGGATCATCGAGGTGGTGGAGGCCAACTACCCCGAGACTCTGGGTCACCTTCTCATACTGCGTGCGCCCAGGGTATTTCCAGTTCTGTGGACTTTGGTGAGAACGAACACCTCTGGTTGCTTTAATTTGCTTTCCTTTGTCAATTTGATAGGTGGAATAATTTATCAAGTTGTAAAGTAAAAACACAAAATGCATTAATAAGAATTTAGAATAAATGGGTACTACATTGCAGATTGAAGCAACTGACAAAAAAGGAAGGAGCAAGATGAAAAGCAGAGAAATTAAATATTGACAAATAAAAATTCATTCAATCTTTATTTAGACAGGTTTATCCCATTGAGCCTCGAGGACTCATTTACAAGAGAGACCTGATTTCTTAACAAAAAAACGATGACAACAGTGAATAAAGCAATGAAGTAAAATAGGCATACAAATTTGTTTCTCTCTTCTTCTTTTTTAACAAATCAAAACAAAATGGCAACCAAAAGGACAATCAAGAGGAATAGTACAAAAAAAAAAAAAAACAGCTAGATTATAAGGCGATTTAGAAAACTAAAAACAGGAGCATGTCTGCATTAGGGGTTGAACGAGTATATAATTTTTAAACTCGACATTAACATAATAAAACCCGAGTAGAACTCGAGTATTTGATGACGTCATAGATCTCAAGATACAAAAATAAATAAATAAATAAAACCGCAAAAAAAGGTAATTATTTACAAAAAAAAAGGACCAACAAAACATTGGGAGCGTATGTTATGCTCCTACCATTTATCATACTGCAAATAAGTCACAGAAAAAACTAAACTATTAGTTATTATTATTATTATTAAACTGCAAACGTGAAGAAACACAAAGCACGTCAAAAACGGGGGGGGGGGGGGGGTCGACCACCCCGTACCACCGCCAGCTGTGGTGCGCATTAAGTTTAGTTTTAGAGATTAATATGTTTATAGATTTTTTTTTATAGGTTTAGAGATTAATATTTTTTGCTTTTTGTTTGTGAAACAAGGTCAGAGGAAGCTGTTTCTGGTTCGGTGGATTGGACCCGGTGTTACACTGTACTCTGTGACCTGCAACAGGGCAACACCGCCCCCTACGGTCATACGGCGGTCACATAATATGACGTCACTACGGCTACTCGACATTACATTTTTAACCTCGATAGATGTCCTAGCAATCAATGTGTAGATTACTCGAGTACTCTGTTAATGCCCTAGTCTGCTTTGGTTTTTGCCAGGAACTTAACAGAAGTTTAAAGTCACTTAGAGAGGTCAAGGTCAAGAGCTTCAGATCTTTTTGCAAGATATTCCAGGAAGCAGGAGCGGAGTAGGAGAAGGCATTTTTGCCTAGTTCAGTTTGCACTGAGGGAACACTGCAGGTAATAATGTCCTCAGAGTGCACTTGTAGCTGCGCTCACACAGAGACATGTAGGAGGAGTTGTATGAAGGCAGCAGACCAAGAAGTGATTTAAAGATGAAAATCCATCAGTGGGAGAGTCTGTGTGAGGTTAATGATGGCGGCTTTGTGGTTAGAGCAGTCGTCCTCCAATGCGAGAGTTGGGGGTTCGAATCCGCCAGCAGTCACATGCTGAAGTGTCCATGGGCAAGACACTGAACCCCTCATAGCCTCTGATGTGTGTCCCATCAGTGTCTGAATGTGATCTAAAGCACTGATTAGTCTCTTTAGAATTATTTGTTCAATTAGCTTTGTAGAGATCTAGTTTAGTGCTGTATGAATGGGTAAATGAGGACACAGATTGTAGTGTAAAAGTGCTTTGAGTATCTTGAAATAAGATAGAAAGGTGCTATATAAGTACAGTCCATTTACCATTTATTCACTTAACCAGTGAATACAGGGTGCAATGATGGGTACGGTAGTTGCAGCCAGTTATGAATCTTAATATAATAATAATAATGCCATCACATTGTCATCACTTTATGTTTCCATACAATGGTGAAATTAGTCTCTGCATTTAACCCATCCAACACCAGGTGGTGCAGTGGGCAGCTATTGAAAGCACCGGGGGGCATTTTGGGGATAAGGTGTGTAGCCCAGAGACACCACGAGGTATGCAGTGACCGGGGATCAAACCTGGGACTTTCGTGTCCCAAGCCGGCTGCCCTGTAGGAACGTTCATATAGATAATGTCACCGTAGTCATTGGAGGGAAGGAAAGTCGCAGTTACAAGGCGTTTCCTAGTGTTTCCTAGCGTTCAGAGTTAGACAGGATCTATTTCTGAAAAGAAATCCAATTTAACTTTCAGTTTCCTTACTAGGTTTTCCACATGAAGCTTAAAGGAGAGATGTGAGTCGACCAAGATACCCAAATATTTGTAGGAATTGACCAACTCGATTGGGACACCATTTGAGGATAAAATCAGAGGAAGAACTGATGGGACTGACATCCTGTTTGAAAAAAGCATCCCTTTGGTTTTACTGGCATTTCAGACAAGTTTGAGGTGGAACAAATTTGACTGGATGATGTCAAAGGCGAATTGCAAAAGCTGGAGAGCCTTAGCAACTGTTTTAGTTCGACAATAAACAACTGTGTCATCAGCATAGAAATGTATGGATGCATCAGGGATGCTTTAACCTACGTTTCTTATGTAGATTGTAAAGAGGCTGGGTCCTAAGACTGAGCCTTGTGGTACACCATTGTTGACTGTTAAATAACTGGATGAAGTACCATTATGTTGAACACATTACCTCCAGTCTGAGAGATAGTTAGCGAACCAACCAATGGTGTGATCTGAGAAACCGATTTCTGAGAGCTTATGACACAAGATGTTATGATCCACAGTGTCAAAAGCTTTAGACAGGTCTAAGAAAAGTGCAGCACAATAATCCTTAGCATCCAATGCTCCAACGATGTCATTTAAAAACCTTCAGTGAAGCAGTCGTTGTGCTGTGTTGTTTCCTGAAACCAGATTGATTGAGAGGTAAGATGTTAAATGAGTCCAGATAATTTTTGATTTGAGAGTTTATCAGTTTTTCTAGCAAGATAATTATAGCAGTAAAATATGCCAAGACGTTGTCTCATGGGAGACATTTGATTACAGTCGAAGCAAATGTGCAGTTGAGCAGAATAATAAAAGCATTAAACAAATAAATGCAGATGAATTGGAGTTTATGCACACAAGTATGCAATGATGAACTACGGCAAAAATGGCTCACGGCTCAAGCAAAATAGAACTACATTTTACCAATGATTGAAGTTATTTCCAGGATTTGAGAAAGATTCATCCAAATCGTGATTGTTGGATACTGAAATTACAAATGACCATAGAGAATGGGTTACAAAACACCATCAACATATTTATATTCCTCCTTTATGAATAATTCATGGGCTACGAATTGATTTGCAGAGTTCATAATGAGTGACCCCGCTGTTTCTTCCATATTCTGATGAGCGTTGGCTTCTTGTTTCCAGGTCAGCCCCCTGATTAATGAGAACACGCGGAAAAAGTTCCTCGTTTACGCTGGAAACGACTACCAGGGTCCAGGAGGACTGGTGGACTATATAGACAGAGACATCATCCCTGACTTCCTTGGAGGGAACTGCATGGTAATGCTAATTTCTTGTAAATCTAATTAACAAATTTATCTCGTGTTTATTTGTGATTTAAGGTTTCAGACACTTCAAATGTTGTTTTGCCATGTCTTGCTGAAATAAAACCCTAATCTGAATATATACAGTATTTCAGTATTATTACATTTATAGATCTGAAAATTACATGTTCTTTGTGCACTTATCCATCTCTCGATATTTTACCTGCACTATGAAAATACACATAGCTCCAGTATTTATGATTTGATCAAGATATTCACACTTATTTGCCAGACAACAAAACCGTTTTCCACGTCTTATCAGTCCACCTTAAATAAGCTGTGACTCAGAGCAGCAAGGGTTCGTATCATGGTTTTAAACTTAGTTTTGTCTTTGCTTGATAAACTTTTAACTTGTTTTGTAGGTTAAGTAGTTGTCTGTGTTAATTCAGTAATTTTCTAATGTGTTCCTGAGTGCGTACTGTAATTTCCAGAATCACATCTCGTTTTAATGCAGCTCAGCCGTAGGATGTGAAGTTCTATGCATTTTCATTGTGTGAATGTTTCATAAACATTCACACTATTGCCATCCATTTTTCTTCTGTACATTTTTCAGCATCTTTCTCGTTCCACAATTTTAGTTCTATTTCAACAAATCGTATATCAAAATGTTCAGCTCGTTCAGGAAAAAGGTGCTATGGCTTTTGCTATTGGTGCAACTTTAGCTTTTTGATATATTTAGCCTTTTCTGCCAATTTTTTTCTCATTGAAAATGAAGTGAGCTCATTTTACATCCTTCAAATCTTTAGATCTGTTTACAACCTTTTACTGCTCCTTGCACATTTTGTTCTGGTTCAGCCTCTTTCAGCTTCCTTGTGCAAATTTAAACTTTTTTCAGCTACTTTCAGCAAATGTCAGCTGTTTTTTTTTTTTTTTTTTTTTTTTTCAGCTGTTCTGTGCTCCTTTTAGATCCTTTCTGCTAAGTACAACATTTTTGTGCTTCTTCTAACTTTTTTCTGCTAATTTCAGCTTACGTTCCTTTAAGCTAATCTCTGCAAGTTTCAGCTTTTTCTGTTATTTCAGTTACTATTTATCTGTTTTGTGCAAATTTTTGCTTGTTTGGCTAATTACAGATTTTTTGCGCTCATTTCAACTTTTTTCATCCTAATTCAGCAAAAATGTACTCTTTCCACTTCCTTCTTGTAGTTTAAGCTTCTTTCTGCTTTTTTAGTTAATTTTCAGCTGTTTTTTGCCATTTCGTATTTTTTCAGATAATTTCCACTTTTTTGCGCTTATTTCCACTTTTTTCAGCAAACATGTTCTTTGTGCTTTCTTCTGCTAATTTAAGCTTGTTCTACCTTTTCAGCTCCTTTTTTATAGCATTTTTTAGCTAATTTCAGCTGTTTTCAGATAAATTCAAGTTTTTCATAGTAACTTCTGCTACTTTCTGCCTAATTAACTCATTTCTGCTAATTTCAGCTTGTTATGCTCATTTCAGCTTTTTTTCTGCTAGTTTCAGCATTTTTTTTTTCAGATACTATTTAGTTGTTTTTGTGCTAAATTTAACTTTTTAAGCTAATTCCACATTTTTCTGAGCTCAATTCAGCTCCTTCCACTTCCATCTGTTAGTTTAAGCTTCTTTCAGCCTTTTCAGCTACTTTTTTTTGGTTGCTAAATTCATCTTCTTTTTTTAAAGCTAATTTACTAATTTTTATGCTCATTTCTGCTTATTTAAACCTAATTATACAAATGTCTTCTTTCTGCTTTCTTCTGCTAACTTTCTTCCATTTCAGCTACATTTCAGCATGTTTTTTAGGTGATTTCAGCTGATTTTAGCAAGTTCTTCATAGCATTCACATTGTATTTTCACAGGAAATGAAATTTCTCTAGTATTATTATTATTATTATTATGCACAACTACATTTTTCATTATTTAGTTGACATTGTTTAAAACTTTAAAACATGTAGCTCCACCTTAAATCCAAAATTGTCAAATTTTAGCCTTTGATAAGTTATGTTTTTGTTTTGAAAGCATTTTTAGATTACTCGTGACTGATTTGTCAGCAACACAAGTATTTTTGAGTCAGGGTTACAGGAAGTGCTTGACGCCTGGTCGACATGCCGTGTAACGCTCCTCACTCATGCAGAAGGCACTGACACATGCCAGCCACGCTCCTCACTGTGTGTTGGGCTGTGGTGAGGAAGGGATGAATAAGAAGCTTGTGTCTGTCGTTCTGTGGCACGTCTTCTTGGGTTGGAGCAGAATGAATAAACACATGAGCAGGTCAACGAACAAATGCTTTGACTTTTAGTTGCTCTTCATTAGTTAAGCAGCCTTTATAATCATAAATGTTAGCTTTAACCCTCCTCTTGTCCTTGAGTCAAAGCGACCTAAGGCCAGTTTAAAAAAACAAAACCGGGTTATTTTGACCCAAGGACAACCAGAAGGTTAAGCCAATTGAACTTTTTGAAGCAGTTAGAAAACCACCCTCTTTAAACCCGAGAATATTTTGAAACGCTCATTTGAAATGACAGCCTTTAAACCCTTCACTGTCTGTAGCATGACCTTCACGTCATCTCGTCACCGGTTATTTTGCATGACATGCTTTTACTGTAATTATGTGGCTGGCCTCGACGAGTTTTCTCTGAAATATTTTTCATTAAGTGGGGAAGTAATTCAGCTACAGACAGAGAGCAGCCTTGAACAACTATTGCATGCAAAACACTTTATCTTTTTTAATTTTTTTTTACAAATGTTACTGTCAAACAAGCCATCACATCTGCACAAATATTACATATTAAGACTTGTCCAAATATTCATTCTCTCCAGTGTGACATCCCAGAAGGAGGTACGGTCCCTAAATCTCTGTATAGAACTGCAGAGGAGCTGGAGAGTGAAGAAAACGGCTTCTTGACCGACTCCATCTATAAGAGTGCCAGCGTCTTTAAAGGAGCTCCATATGAGGTATGGTTTGACTAAGGCTACCCTGATTGTTGTTGGTTAAAAATAAACTGATTTAATGCTCTAGGTTAGGCTGCCACCAGCTGGGAAATAATGCACATCACAGCCGAAGCCCACTCGTCTGTGTCCTGTCTCCTGTACAGGTGCTGATTGAGATCACAGAGGCCTCCTCTGTCATCACGTGGGACTTTGACGTGTCTAAAGGAGATGTGATGTTTAATATTTATCACTCCAAAAGGGCTCCACAGCCTCCTAAAAGAGACGCTCTGGGAGCTCATGGCATCGCTTCCCTTGGGGGTGTAAATGCTCAGCTGATTGATAGAAGCTGGGTGCTGGGCCAGGACTACAGCAGGGTGGAAAAGGCCCTCATCTGCAGAGAGGGAGAAAGTGTGCAGGTTAGACCATCACAAATGTGTAATTTAGACTCTGTATATTCAAACTGCTTACTTGTCTTTGAGGCAGAGCTTGGAAATGGTTCAGCTTGCAGAATATATATTGACTTTTTTTTTTTTTCACAGGGCTCCCATATAACACGCTGGCCTGGCTTCTACATCCTCCAGTGGCGCTTCCACAGCGCCGCAGCCTGTGCTGCCTCCAGCCTGCCTCGTGTTGATGATGTTCTGGCCTCCCTGCAGGTCTCTTCCCACAAGTGCAAGATTATGTATTACACTGAAGTGCTGGCTTCCCATGACTTCAGGTCAGTTTATTTATAAATGCAGAGCTTTATGCCCCTGGTTGAATCCTGGTTTTCTTTAACTGCAGTTATGCAGACGCTCTAAAATGTTTTGATTTAGCTGATTTCATACCTGCTTTCTCCCCTATAGTTATTTAAAGGTTTGAAATGATTTTTTTTTTTTCCTTTTTCAAGGGGATCCATGACCAGTCTGGAGTCTTGTCAGAGTGGTTTCTCTCAGCTCAGTGGTGTCACAACGTCCTCCAGCCAATCCTGTGCCAGCTCCACGCTTTCAAGGTAGCATCTGTCCTCGGGCAGCTATAAAAGCTCACTGGTATCCAGCTCTTCCTGTGCCTTATCCCTCCATGGACACTTTTTATCAACTCATTAGTAAAAGCTTTGAACAGTGAGACTATCATCTTTTTACAGAGCAGAGAAGTTTCACTAATGTCTCTTTTTGAGGATTAATGTTAGTGTGAGTCTATGATAACTCATTTTTATTTTATGTATAACCCTGTACAGCATGACTAAGCACAAACGTACTAAAATCTTTACATGTAATTTATTGTCAAATGCCTAATAAAGTTTATTAACGTTACAGAAAACTACAAAAGTACATCCTCACTTGTAGTTTTCTAAGATGAGACGAAGCATTAATACTGTAATTGCATAATGCAGACTCTTCCTGTGTTGTACTCTTTCTGTCCACAAGATGTCAGTGTGCTTTATGGATAGAACTGCTCTCAGATCTGCAGCACATCCTGTTACAGCTCACACACTACTTTTGCACTTAACGAAAGATGAGATGAGAATTGTTGAAATAAAGGAATAAATCCTGGTGATGAATGGCCAATCTCGGTGCCAGATGTTTTGAGCATGGATCGCCTTACTACAGAGGTGTTGGAGGAGTAACGTAATAACTACTGAGTTCGGTTATAATTCATTTTTTAATAACTGGAGAGCCGCTCCCTCCCCAGCCTCCCAAATATACAACACACTTCAGATTCTGTGATAATATTTTCATGCTGCCGAGTTTTCTCAGGCACCTAATTTAAATTCAGCATAACGCAGCTCCCTTGTGATCTGGCTCTGTGCCAGACAGACGGCTGATTTACATAAAACTTTAATTTCCATAAACTTATCAGATGCTTTCAGCTAAAACTTAATTGAATTTCCTGGTGTCATTTTTATTGTTTTATTTCACTGTTTCTGTTTGCAACATTGTGTCATGTGTCTGCTTATCCCAACACTGCGTAAGATCAGGCGGAGCGAGCTTCATGACACCTCTGGATTATTTAAGAGAATAAGAGTTCTGACTTCTTGAGCAATGACCGTCTAAGACCTACATTGTCCACGCATACACGAGAACAAATTTCCTCTGGAGTATTTGCTTTTAAAACTTGCGCTTCTTAAGCAGGAGTGGATGATTGCTTGTGCCATTTAGACTGTATTTGATTTGAATGACACTTCAGCTGTTTTGTGAGGCGGCACTTTGGCACAGATGTGCCATAAGCAAAACAAATTAGCATGCTAATGCTCTCAGAGTGCCATGTTAGTGCTGCACTGAGCAACGTTAACCACCGCCACCTTAATGTGTGCTATCACCGAGCACTAAGGACTATTTAAGCTGATGACATTTATAAAGCTTTGATTTGTGGTTGTTTTGCTCTAAATTAACTCGATAACGAACATCAAGTAATAAAAGCAAACAGTTTTTAGTTGTTATCATAAAAATATGAATAAAATTGTTTGAAAAACCTCAACTTCTGCGTATGTGGTCATCTTTTCTATGCAGTTGAAATGCACAATAAAAAAAAAATCACACTGAATGTCTTTACTTATTTTAATATATATATATATTTTTCATTTGGCTGCTTCTGAAGTGGTGTTTTGATGGGGTTTTATTGTAGTCAGTATCTAACCTGCAGTATACACTTTGATAGAATCATCAGTTAGAAAAGTCAGAGGTTTTTAGCAAGACAGTGGAGCTAGCAACCAATCTGAGCCCAACTAGAACCAGAGCTGACTTCCATCCTAAACAACTAGTTACATAGAGGTTCATGAAACCCCCACTTTATAAACCTTTACACTGCTGTCATTTACATTAGATTAATCTCTTGATAAAAAGCTCTAATTATGTATACACAAGACAAGAAATGTTTCATTCGAAACTTAGTTGCAAAATTATATATTTTTTAACCTGTCAGAGAAATGAATGATGTAACTCAAATGTATTTTTTTCCACATTAATTTTCCATCACAGTTACTTCAGCTGGTTCTCAACACATTTCATTTTGCAACAGATGCTTCATGTGGAATCTTATTTCCCAAAGTAACTTTTAAAATCCAATGTAAACAACTATAAACCACTCATTTCCAATCCTGGTCCTCGAGGGCCGCTATCCTGTACGTTTTACATATTTGTGTGTTTCAGCGCACCTCATTTTGATAAAACGACTGATTAACAGGCTTCAGCAGAACTTAGTCTACCTCACGTAGCCCAGTTCATGGGACCACCTTGTTTGTGGTTAAGTGAACTGCTCCGAGGGGCCCATCTTGATGTAAGCAGACAGCAGCTGTTGATTGGCCAGCAGAGATACATCACTGGATGAGCCGCCCAGCAAAACTGCAAACTACATCTAAACTCTTTCTTCTTTGATGGTGTTATCTGATGGCGCCACAAGAAATGAGTGCACTTACAGAGATATCGGAGATGATGGCACAGCATGGCCCCACCCGGACTTATGAGCAGTGCCGGGATAAGCTAACAAAATTCAAGTCCGATTACAGGGCGAGGAAGGACCACAATGGGCTGAGGGCTCGAACACAACCAGTTAAGATCCCACTGAGCGGGGAAATGAGTCGATGACAGATTATCTACACCTGAGACGAACCGATAAGATGAGAGCCGAGTGGAGTCACTTATCACTGGCAAGGTAACATAAAATGTTAAAGGTAGCCAAAGAGTGACCACTCTTGTTTTTCTGTTTATAATTTCATCCATTTGTTTTTTGGACTCAACTACTTTAGCTTAATGAGGAATCATGTGCCATAACTTTTTGTACTTGTACTTTTTATACAGAATTATTTACAAAACGTGTTCCCAGGAAGTGCACTTTGATTAAATCAGTTCAAAACATTCGCTTTGAAATCTGTTTCAGCACACTTGCTTTATTTTTGCCTTCTTATGCCTTCTCATTTAAGCTTTTAGCTGCAGTTTAGCTATTTTTAGCTACAGTCGTTCTAATTTAGCTTCTGGTACGCCTGTTTTAACTAACAAATCCATTTCAGCTTCTACTAATTTCAGCGTTCATATAGCATTTTTGTGAAAATGCAATCTGTTCTAGTTGTCTAATGTAAAAATGACGGGGGTACAAATGTTATCGTTTATTTAAATTAAAACTAAAAAACACATTTTTTACATGTACCGCTATGACATTTTTGAAATTGGTATTTTTCCCACTTGAACTAGCCATTAGATTAACTTCCCTGAGAATTTTGGCTTGTTATTCCAAAGTGATAAAATGTTCTGAGCAAGTTCTACTGCAGGTATGATACTGACTACTTCTAACATCTTCATACAGCGCTAAATCTAAAAATCTGAAGTATTGAGCTAATTGCATCTGAACTAAGATGACTAATTTAGTCACATGATGTCAATCTTCACAACACTGGTCTGTTCAACTCATTTAAAGTACTGATTTGATTATTTGTTGTCACCATATTATAATGCAAGACACGACGTCTCACCACTGTCAGTGTCTCCACTAGAGCTGTCACTCATGTAGAAATCTCCTCGGAGGATAAATCCTCGCTCTACATTTCATCGCCCTGTTGCCGTTACTCTCTGGTTGCACCGCTCAGCATCAAAGGTACTCTAACAACATTATCTGGAATTTATCTCCAAAAGGAACGAGCCAGGAGATGGTATCTGTGAAAGCCTACTTCAGTCCTACTTTAGCATTCTTCTCAAGCTGCAGCTGAATAAACTTTCCCACCACACTGGGGGGAGGTGAGTGCGTCGTGGGGCAAATTAAAATCAGTATTGGATAATGCTGCTGCCGAGAAGGCTCGATCTCTTAATTCTTTTGAGCGCAGCAGGCAGAAAGAGGCCCCCACTGATAACATGCTGCTCTCATATTCTCAGGTTCCTTGTTGCAGATATAAATATCCCAACATTCTCTGGGAATATAAAAACATGGTAATAAATTAGCTTTTCTAAAAAGACTTGGAGGTGACACGAGGCTTGTTTTCAAGGATTTTTTTTTCTTCTTTCTTTTTTTAATCGCTCTGATAAAAAGTGGGCAATAATATTTGTGCTAGTGTTCGTGTGTGTGTCTGTTGTCGAAAGGCACACTGGACAAATTTTAACAAAACTTTTGTTTTTGCTCCCATTTTTCATGAGCTGAACTCAAAGATCTAAGACTTGTTCTGTGTACATGAAAGGCCTTGTTCTCAAATATTGTTCACAAATTTGTGTCTTTTCGTGAGCACTTCTTTGCCGAGAAAATCCATCCACCTCACAGGCGTGGCGTAACACGATGCAGATTAGACAGCATGGTTATTGCACAGGTGCGCCTTAGGCTGACCACAATAAAAGGCCACTCTAAAATGTGCAGCTTTATCACACAGCACAATGCCACAGATGTATGATTTGAGGGAGTGTTCAGTTGGCATGCTGACTGCAGGAATGTCCATGTTCAGAGAATTTGGCAGTGCATCCAACTGGCCTCACAACTGTAAACCACGTGTAACCCCACCGCCACCCTGGGCCACTCGATTCACAACATTGACATCAGCAAACCACTTACCCATACGGCACCATGCATGCAGTCTGCCATCTGCTCTGAACAGTGAACACCAGGATTCATCCATGAAGAGAATGTCTCTCCAACGTGCCATCCACCATTGATTGTGTCCACTCAAATGGCTAACAGAGACCAACTCCAATCAGATGGAGACCCTGATGAGAACGACGTGCATGCAGATGAGCTTCCTTGAGACGGTTTCTGACAGTTTGTGCAGAAATTCTTTGGTTATGCAATACCTTTTATTATATATAACTTAAGAATTAAGTAGTTTTATTTTTTTTCTTGTTCAAGGCAGCACAGAGTGACGGATCCTGGCGAGCATTTTATCCACCACCAGGTGCAATGGTGAAGCCAGGGGGTGGCCATAGGTGGCCTTAGCCCCCATATACTTTCCTTTGGACAACAAAAAAGAAAAAAGTATACTTTTACACAATATAAAAACTAGAAAGCATAGTTTCCTCAAATGATTGGGATGGCCAGCTTGGATTTTGACATGGCAACCCAATTTTAGAAAAGAACCCTTCTTGCGTCTTGATGCAT